TTAAAATGACGCAACTTTTCCGCGCGGAGCCGTGCGGACCTCGCGGACGCATGAAGCATAAACCAACCTTAAGGGTGCATAATGACCTCCTGATGGCTGCTGATGCTGGGAAATGCTCTGTCATGGTCCTGCTTGACCTCAGAGCAGCTTTTGACACTGTAGACCACAACGTTCTACTAAACAGGTTAAAGGCCCTGGCTGGGATTTCAGGTTCTGCTCTAGACTGGCTCTCTTCCTATCTCACTAACAGAACATTCACAGTGAATTCAGAAACCTTCTCCTCAGACACTGCCTCTCTAACATGCGGGGTCCCACAAGGTTCAGTTCTAGGGCCATTACTATTCGCATTCTATATTCTTCCTCTAGCTGGCATCATTCAGTCTTTCCCAGACATCTCCTACCACATCTACGCTGATGATATTCAGCTCTATATGTCCTTTATGCCGCACCAGTTGGACAGGCTGGCCACACTTGTACTCTGCCTGACCCAGATCAGTAACTGGCTGTCCAGCAACTTTCTTGTCCTCAATGCTAACAAGACAGAGACCCTGATCGCTGCACCCCCGGAACTTCAGCCAAAAATCGAGCAAGAAATTCCCTCTTTTTGCCCATCAGCCAAGGCCAACATTAGAAACCTAGGAGTTATTTTTGATCCAACTTTAAGTTTAGACTCACACGTCAAAACCATCCCCCGCTCTTGTTTCTTTCAACTGAGAAACATTTCAAAAGTCCATAAACTGGTTTCTACTGCAGATCTGGAAAAAATCATCCATGCCTTTGTGTCATCATGCTTAGTTTACTGTAACACTCTTTTTGCTGGTCTCAGCAAAACCTCCCTCTCACGCCTTCAAGCCATCCAAAATGCAGCAGCCAGACTCTTAACCAAATCCAGCAGACGAGCTCACATCACCCCAGTTTTACAGTCCCTCCACTGGCTCCCGGTAGAATATAGAATACAGTTAAAAGTTTTAGTCCTGACCTATAGAGCTCGTAACAACCAGGCTCCAAGCTACCTATCTGAGCTTTTATCCCCACACACCACCTCACATAACCTCAGATCCACATCTGAAAATCTCCTGGCTGTTCCTCGAACCAGACTGAAAACCAAAGGGGACAGGGCCTTTCAGACTATTGCCCCCAGACTTTGGAACAGTTTACCTTCAAATCTCCGTCTCTCTAACACTGTAGAGGTCTTTAAAAATCATCTAAAAACTCACCTTTTCATCCAGGCGTTCCCTCCCTAAATGTTTCAAAAAGATGGCTTTGTTCGGGTTCACACCTTCACTTTGTTTATACTCATGATTTTATTTTCTACTTTGTCACTGCTATTGTTTTTTCTGATGTTTTTATTGGTTAGAGGTATTTGCCCTGATCTTTATCATGCTCTTTGTGATTTATATCTGTGAAAGGCGCTATATAAATAAACTTTTACTTACTTACTTACTTCTCTTTTGCCTTGGCCCCCCAAAATGCCTTGAAACGGCCCTGGGTTTGTCTGAGTTTTGAAGGTGATCTGAATTGTATCAGATGCATAAATATTACTTGTGTATAACTTATTGTTTTATACAGGTAAAAATGTGTAGTGGAGATAAATCTACCTACATTTTACTTTTCAGCACTTTGCTTTGTTTTCTTGTTTTTATTTAAATATTTCCTGTCCTGTCTGTCTCTCATCTTCCTGCATCTCCTCTAAACTCTCCAGAAAAACTGTTGCCTGGATTCTTACTTTTTCACCTCATCAGTTACTTTTGAACTAAACAGATTTGGGGCAGCAGTAGCTCAGGTGGTAGAGCGGGTTGCCTCATGATCGGAGGGTCATGGGTTCGATTCCAGCTCCCGCCAGGGGTATCCTGCTGTTGTGTCCTTGGGCAAGACACTTCACCCAACTTGCCTGTGCTAGTGGTGGTCAGAGGAGCCGACGGCGCCAAATGGCAGCCTCGCCTCTGTCAGACCTCCCCAGGGCGGCTGTGGCTACAAGTAGCTTACCATCACTAGCAGTGTGAGAGTGTGTGAAAAAGCGTCTTTGGGTGTCTAGAAAAGCGCTATATAAGTTCAGTGCATTATTATTATTATTATTAGATCAAAGGGATCTCCTGACCGCAAAGCGTAGTGCGCGTTTCGATGCTGCGTCAGTGAGGTGAAATCACCGCAGCACACGATGATGGGAGTGTGTCAGGAACGATTAAAAGACAGAATACCAGAGGATTTAAACAGATACGAATAATCATGTGTTAATAATAATGTTTTGTTGCGCCACTTTGTGAATGTATCGTGGGCCGGACGCAGCGCGTGCACAAACGATCAGCATTCTGCGTCCTCTCCGCTCAACAGAATCCCGCTACGCTGAGAGTCCATAAATATTGTAGTAAAGGTAGAAACTGGATCTTTCCCTGAAAGATATAGTCCCCATAAGTCGATCCCTGCTCCTGGATGAAAAATAGGACACTTTATTTCATGTAGGAAACCCTGCCGGACGCCCCGGACAGAGAGTGAAAAGTGGACATGTCTGGGGAAAAGAGGACGTATGGTCACCCTTTTTAATACGTCATTCTGTGGAGCTTTTCTGATCTGATGGATCACCACAAAAGCATGAGAGATGGTGGACAGAATCAGCCCAGACTCACAGTTGAAGTTCATGGGAAGGGCAGAAACATAAAGACACAATATAAATTATCACACTTTTGGCTGTTTCCCTTTGGTTATTCCTTTTACACAGTATTTTGCAAATGCAAAGGACTTCACATCTTTTTAGGCCATGTTTAACCCTGAAGTTTCCATTGATATTAACTAGGTCCTATCAAATAAAAATGTTTTAAGTCTAGTCTTAAAAGTAGAAAAGGTGTCTGCCTCACGGACTAAAGCTGGGAGCTGGTTCAAAAAGAGAGGAGCCTGATGGCTAAAAGATCTGCCTCCCCTCCTATTTTTAGATATTCTGGGAACCACCAGTAAGCCTGCAGTCTGAGAGCAAAGTGCTCAGTTAGGAACGTATGGAACTATCAGGTCACTGATGAATGATGGAGCTTGATTATTAAGAGCTTTATATGTGAGAAGGAGGATCTTAAAATCTATTCTGAATTTAACAGGCAGCCAATGTAGGGAAGCTAAGACAGGAGAGATATGATCTCTTTTTAATTCTCATCAGAACTCTAGCTGCAGCATTTTGGACAAGCTGAAGACTTTTAACTACATTCTGTGGACTTCCTGAGAGTAATGAATTACAGTAATCCAGTCTTGATGTAATAAATGCATGAACTAGTTTTTCAGCATCACTCCTGGAAAGGATGCATTTAATCTTAGCAATATTCCAAAGGTGAAAAAAGGAAATCCTACAAACCAGTTTAACGTGAGAGTCCTGGTCGAAGACACTAAGGTTCCTTACTTTGTTCTCAGAGACTAATTTAATGCTGTTCAGGTCAGATGATTGGCTAAACAATTTCCTTCTCTGAAGTTCCGGTCCAAAAATGAGAACTTCAGTCTTGATTTAAAAGCAGAAAGTTTAGAGTTATCCAATTTTTTATGTAACAGGAAGAAACCTGCAAAAGATCCTCGAGCCATCCGCCATGAACCACTGGGGATTGAGAAGACAGAGCACACACACACACACACACACACACACACACACACACACACACACACACACACACACACACACACACACACACACACACACACACACACACAGGTGACTTTATGACCATGTGTTTTACACGTTTAAAACACTTTATTATGTACACATTTTAAGAAAAAGTTGCAGGAAACACATTTTCATAGATTAACAATATTAATATAAAAACAGGATTTAAACAATAAATATGACTCACACACACGAGTCATGTTTTTATCTGAATTTTGTTACGATAAAAACAGAATTCAATACAAAAAGACAATCTTGAACAATAGAGGAAACATCAGCTTGAGGAAAACTCCAGAGGAAAAACATGACAATGTGTTTATTTCCAGTCTACACTAAGCAGATCAATTCAGAACATTAATATAAAAATAATATTATTCTTATTTCTATGCTGAAGGATTGTTGCTTTATTGTTCAGTGTTATTGATCACTGCAGCTGTGAGAGAAGAGCTCCACAATCATCCAGCCTGTCCAGCTCCTCCACCACCTCCACCAGCCGCTCCACCTTCTCTGATGGCAGCACCACCTCTGCGTTGCTTCTGAACTTCTTGCTCAGGCTCTCGTTTGTCAGCGGGTTGCGCCAGTGGCCATAGAAGGTGTCACAGCGGCCCTTCAGGATGTCTCCTCCAACTAGAGTCACCTGGACTTCTCCGTACATGCGGTTGAAATTGGCGGGGTTGTCCTCAGGATGCTCCATGCGAACACGGCTCAGCAGGAAGTGCAGCTCTGGGCGGCTCATGGCGGGCGGGCTGAAGGACTGCACCGCCACCTCACCGTCCAGCAGAGCGCTGCAGGCGTTAAACTGGAAGGAGTGGCGTGCCTCGTGCTCTGACTCGGGAAAAGGCCTGTTGATGTATTTAGACTGGGGGACTCTGAGCAGGATGTCCTGGACCTGATGTGGGGACACCTGTCCTAGACCATGTCCCACAAGGAGCTCATGGACCGCAGCTGCAGCATCAGCTACCCAGTGCATCCCCAGATGGGCAGGAAAACGCTTAAAAGCCATGTCCTGCTCCTCTAACAGGAACACATGTCCACCATCAGGTGACTCTAAAGGCTGAGGAACATAATCTTCATAAAAGGCGCTGAAGCCCGCCACTCCTGCAACAGCATCCAAGACCAGAGGACTGGCCTCTAGGCCTCTGGAGGCCAGCAGAGCAGCTTCAAGCCCCAAACGAGAGGCGTTGCCGATGTGAAGGGGCTTTGACTGAGTGGCAGCATTAGCCATCGGAGCTCCAGCTAGAGAAGCTGCTATAGCCAAGGCATGACTGCACTGAGACGGATCCAGAGACAGGAGATGAGAACAGGCTGCTGCACTTCCCATAGGACCCACCACAGTGGGAGGATGGAACCTGTTCACACACACACACACACACACACACACACACACACACACACACACACACACACACACACACACACACACACGGTTCAGTTAGGACATTTATTCTGTTGTAACTGAAACAATCACTGATCTGCATCACCACATAAGAATGTTTCTATTGGTTGAATCTTTAGAACAAGATGAATTGATTTGACTCGTTTCAGGTCACCTGAGTTTCTAAAACACCCACCAGATGAAGGGTTTGGTTTGTTCTAATTCTGTTAACATTACACCAAGAGCCCCTGCTGTTTCTACAGTAAGCATCATTACACTGACATCACTAAAACGGCCTCTTACACCTCAGTGCTAAGATCAGCACAGTCAAACAAGGACGTATTTAAACGAACGTGTTCATGAAGATTGTGCTAAAACCAGACTTTCTGGTTCAAGCTTGACTTGTGCTGTGAGGCACTGACCTCTTGGGAATGCTGCGTGCTTCATTAGAGAACCTCATCAGACGGCCCTGGATCTCAATGCCGACATTGAAGGCCAGTAAGAAGTCCAGACCGCTTGGTTTGCTGTTAGCCGGCATCATGTCACTGAGAGCAAACAAAGCTGGGAGAACAGCTCCTGAGGGATGAGTGGCTGGATGCCACGTGTCGTCAAAGTCCATGGAATGAGTCTGGAAGCAACCAGAGTTTGTGTCTCATCATACTGAAGCTGAAAGGAGTCAGAATAATAACTTTTTCTGTGAGGGTCATAACTAGATCAGAACCCAGCTATGAACACCTTGCCTGTGCCGTGTCTGAATGATCCACTTCTTTATGTTTTTTTTCTGAAGTGAACACTGACATGTTTTCTGTTCCTGGTGTGTTTTCAAAAGAAAAATGACTTTCATTCCTAAATCAGGCCATCGAGGGGGAAGAAAGTAGCTTCTTTGGAAATGTTTGATGGGAAACTTTAAGGCCAGCTCAGCTGATTTTATTTCTACATCCTAACCCTGTGGTCTTTGGGAGCCACGCTGCACCAACAGCTGAGAAAAGCTGTTTATACAAAATGTTTCCACTGATGTTTATGTGGTTATTTATATATGGTTGTTTTCCACTTATGTTTCTCACCGCTACTCCATTAACGAAAGCTGCCAGTGTTGGGGAGAGTCTGATCCCTCTGCGTCCGTACACAGAGCTGATGTGATCCGGAGCATACATGTGCTAAGAACAAACACAGAAACAACCCTACATTCACTCATCTGTTCTGGACATATTTGGGTTGGACCTGACTCAGACTTTCACTTTGCCTCACCTGGCAGAACTGAAGAGCCAGCTCAAACACATCTGTCCTGCTCCCTATCAGTCCGACCCCGATGCTGTCCAGCACCATCCTTTTGCTGCGATGGAGCACAACCGGAGACAAATGCTGAGGCTTTATTTCACTGATGAACTTCCCAAAACTGGATGTGACCGTATCTTCTGGGGCTGGGTGCTTCTGGCCTGCAGGAATGAAAAGATAAAAGTTGTTTAATAAAGGTTATTAATTAAGGTTATTATTATTATTTTTAATCAAAGTCAGCATATCTGTTTACCCTCCACTGCAGTGTTATGCAGTCTTCTGGCAGCCCGCACTGGTCTGATGGTTTTCTTTGGGACAAAACATAAATCAGAACAAAGCATTTCAGTTATTTTTCACATCTCAGGATGACTACAGGCTGATGAGTTCCTGCATTTACTTGTTCACGTCTTTAATCTAATGTTTGTGTTTGAAAGAGCCAGTGTAGAGGTGTAACGTGTGTTTCCCAGCATGAGTGTTCTCCTCAACAATTAGCAGGAGTTATTTTATAGTTCCCTGCCTTGGCCGCACTACAAACCTCTACTTTTAGATATTTTTATGACTTCTTTATTTGAAAAGGACTTAAAACCATCACTTTTAGAGTCTGAAAACTGACTAAAAGCATAAATATGTCTGTAATCTTACCTGTAGTGTGGAGAACATGACTTCAAGTTTCTGTCACAATGATCTTGTTTCTTGTTTCTCTTGGATGCAGCAGCTGAGCAGTGAAGGATGCTGATGCTTTTGTGGCTGAAAATCCACCTGCCTTATATAGTCCAGGACTTACAATGACCGGAAACACCAAAGGAGCAGGAAGGGCAGGTTCCTTTTGCAATCCTGTATCACATCAGAATGAGGCTTTTCCACCCGGGTCATTATCTGTGGTGTAACGTTCACCATCATCAATAGCCTTGAGGGGGAGGAAGAGGAAAGAAGGAGGAAAAGCCACTTTTGTGTAAAGTGAAAGGCAGTGATGTCACCTGTAAGTATGCTGCTGTGTGACAGAGTGGGGAATTCTCAGTAACTCCTCCTTTACACAAACAGATCATATTTAAGGCAAACCTTCATCCCTCCTTCAGCATAACTCAGCTTTCCATCAGTCTGAACAACTTCAACAGGTAAAACTTTGTTCTTTCTTTTATTGCTGACAGGAGTAAATATTTTGTTTCTGCATGTCACCCATCAAAAATCCTTAAACCTATAGCTAGATTATTATATACTCTGCTTTGTAGATTGAATCAGACCTAAATCTGCATAAAGGATGCTCCCTGACAAGAGCTTATTTATAAATATTAAAACTATTATTGCAATATCATGTAGTTTTTCAACAATATGAAAATAACAGTAATGTTAGGGGTATTAGTCTATTGATAAAATTGTTTTCATTTAGAATAAATTCTTCCTCTTCAGAGAGCCTGTTAGAGGAGCGTCGTAATAAATGACTTTTACATTAGTTACATGACAAGAGTGGCTCAGCCTACTTATGACAGGCAAGGACCGTTTTATATTATATTATATTAAATTATATTATATTATATTATATTATATTATATTATACAGTCATATTAAAATTCATATATAAATGTTGTTGTTGAGGATTACCGTTTTAGACTTTTATCATATGTTACCTGTACTGACTGGATTGTCTACAGAAACACCATGGCAGCCTCAGACGGTTTTCCTGCCAGTTTCTATGGAGAACCAGGAGTGTTAGGAATGTTATCCAATGGGATCAGCGCATTCCTTGTACTTCTACAGAACTTCAGCACAGCTCACACTGGAATTAAACCAGTTGGGGTGGAGAACATACTTGCAGGTAAAACTCTTGACATAAACACAAATATCTATTCATACATAAACCTGTGAAGGTGGCTTACAGCAGTTTCTAACACTTCTTCCAGGTGTACATCTCATCCTGATTGGTGGTTTGTGCCAGCTGGTGGCTGGACTGCTCTCCTTCAGAAAGTACGATCACCTGAGTGGCACTGCCTTCATCGGCTACGCTGCCCTTTGGGGTAGCTATGGGGCGACCAGAATCTACTATGGTGCTTTATTTAACAATCAGACTATACCACCAGTGTCAGAGCACATGTTCAATGGTTCAACCACCAACATGATGGTCAACACTTCTCTTCAAAACTCAACACAGTGCCACTTATGTGTGTCCATAGAAGAGTCAGCCATTGCTGGTCTGATCCCTTATATCCTTCTGTCCTTTATCCTGGCATTTTGCTCTGCCACGGTCAACTACATCATGCCTTTTGTTTTTGGAGCCATCACGGCCACTTTGATCTTTGAAGCAGCAGCTCTCGTGACAGGCCCTTGGGCTCTGGTGGTCTCTGGGGTTCTGGAGCTGCTCATTTTGATCTTTGCCATCTATGGTTCAGCTGCGCTACTCATCAAAGGGCTGACTCAACGTCTAGTTCTTAAAGGCTTTGGGACCCCCCTCTTTAATGTTCTCCTGCTAGGAACCACCAACTCAACAGGTGCTCAGAAACCTGGTCAAGAGAAGAAGAAGAACACAAAATATGCAGAGCCCATGGCCTTGGGTTTCTTCTGTGACTCTATTGCTCCTTTCATCGTTGCCTTCTACAGCTTTGGGTACATGAAATCGTTTGGTTTAGGAGTTGCATGGGTATCAATCATCTCAGTCGCCCAGCTGTTCTCCAGCTATTACGCTCATTTGCGCCAGGATAGCTACCACACTACAAAATTTGGGATTCATGCCATGTATTGGCTGATCAAGGCTTGGGATGAGTTTGTGGCATCTGCCCTGATTGTGGAGCACAGTCAAGTTGTTGCTGGTAGGGAAGCCATGGTGGGAGACTGGTTCTTTGTGGTGGCTGGCTTGGTGCTCTGTGTGGGAAGCCTGAACATGGACACTCTGGAGCTGATCCACAACTTGCTCTTTGTTCTGCTCACAGTCTCAACAATCCCCCAGATCCCCCTGCAGGGTTACTACATCTTCTTTGGTGTAGCCTGCTCTCTCTTCACTGCAGTCTCAGTCTACGGTACCTTCTCACGCCTCATAAACACCATCGCAGAGAAGTCTCTAATCCCTGTGGGACCACAGCCGGTCTCCTCCGAGCAGCTGAAGAGAGCTCTGATGTGTAGAAGATCTCAACAGGGAGAACAAAAAGAGCTGCCCAACAGTGACCAGGCCTCAGATGCTCTGTTTTATCTCACCAACGGGGTTGCAGCACTTTCAGCTCTTCATTCAGAAGTGTCAAGTGGGAACGCTTCATTCCTTCATCTGACTGTCCCCTGGGTCCTCATCTCTGGAGGCATCATTCAGACCTATGTCAGCAGGCTACAAGTCACCGGAGAGGGCCGGTTTGGATCAGTCATCTCATCCATTTACGTGTTTGTATGGGCAACTTGGACATGGTTTCGATTTGCAGGTATGTCAGCATAAAGTATGAGCAAAATACATTTTTTCTGACTGATTTGAACAATATTCTCATCAGGAGTTATTGTTCTACAGGTTTTCAGCTTCAGCTCCCCGTCCAGGCAGCCTATGGATTCACAGCTGGAGGCGTTGCTTTACTGGTCATTAATGCCTTCCTCATGCTGATTGGTAAGGTCTAGTATCTGCTTTCAGCGCTGGAATTCACAGTTTTTATTCATTCATAATTTTGTACTTTTGTTTCTTCTATTAGCTGCTTATAGGAACGTGGTTCTGTTGTTTCTAACAACAATCATGGAGGTTGTTCTTGTCTGCTTCCTTCTCTCCACCCTGCAGAGACTTCCATACCAACTTGAAAGTGAGTTAAAACCGCCTGTTATAAACTTTATGTATTTACGATACTGACTCTCATCAGAACAAATAAAGTCTAACATCCAGAAACGATGTATTGCAGTTGCCATGCTTGCATTGGTATCCATCATTTGCTTTTATGGCACCTTGGCTTCACTGATGAACTGCATCTTCTCACAAAGAGTGATCCCAATGGGTCCTCCCATTATAAAGGTAATGACTGAAGTTTAGATTGACCTACCTTTAAGAATCAGCGTGAATAATTAATAAAAATGTGTGTGTGTTTTGTTTTAGGAAAAAGTGAAACAGGAAGCTTGTGACGAGCCGTCCTGTCCGGTGGCTAGCTCGCGTCTCACCAGCGGTCTGTTGAAGATAGCTCGACTTCTCGAGGACGGGGGTGTGTGTGGTATTCCCACAGATACTGTGTACGCTCTGGCTGCTTCCTGCAAGAATCCTCAGGCGATAGAAAAAATCTACAACATTAAAGTAAGAAGATGGAGGAGACTTGTTTAACAGCAATATACATTTTCATGAAGTCACCATCTTGTTGAATTGGACCTTTTGCAGGACAGACCTGCAGAGAAGCCTATATGCATTTGCATCTCCAGTGTGGAACAGCTGGTTGGAGCCAGGCCTCCTTTCAGCCCTCTGCTGTGGGAGTTCATGAGGAATGTGTATCCTGGAGGCATCAGCTGCATTGTCAGCAAAGGAGACTGGCTTTACAGACTAGGTCAGCAGTGTAGAGTGTTTGAATGTTGAGTGGCAGAATTCTGTATCAGTTTTCAGTTTTTACGTGAACTTTAACTTCATTTCTGTAGGAGTTGGACCTGCTTATGACCGTGTTGGTACCAGAGACAGCATCATGATCCGTGTCCCAGACCACACCGTGACCTGCCACCTATGTGACATCACTGGACCCCTGGCCATAACATCAGCCAATCCCAGTGGAGAATCAGACAGCACCCACCACAGCATGGTCATTAAGTAAGAGTCTCCTCAAAGAAGTTTAATGCAAACTAACAAACAACACATCTCTAAAACTTTTAGCACCATGCACTAATTACTGTTTCAAACTGCTTCTTTTGCTGCAGTCGACTGGGACACAAGATCCAAGGAGTACTTTGTGATGGTGACTCGAATGAAGTAGTTGCTTCAACTGTGGTCAACTGCCTGAGGATTAATGAAGGTAAGGGGCCATGATTTCTTCCTACTGGGGCTGTTTAAGGTCAAGTTTCTAACTGAAGCTCTTCTAACCTTCGTTCAGGAGTCATCACCATTGTGAGAGAAGGCTGTGTCCCTGCTATCAAAGTCCAACAGATCTTTGACAGACTGAAGAACTCCATGATTTGAGTGTCTCTTAGCGAAGACTGTCTACCTGGCTGATCACGTTCAAGTCAACTTGTCTAACCCAAGCTGTGATTTGCTTTTCATACTGACAAACAGCAAAAGAGGGAAAAGAAAACTAAAGATGTGTGTTTATATGGATGTAACTTTTGTGTCTTAGTGGATGCATAGATAGATGGCTAATTCAAAAGTCATCTTAAACTGCATGAACTCCATAATGTTTTGCACTATTTATATATTTATTGTTATATTTATTTTCAACATATATCAACACAAACACTTTGAATCTGTAAATAAGTAGTTATGTTTTTTTAATTAATAATGTTTGAACTCATTGTAAAACAGAATGTCTTTGTGTGGTTTCTGCATTGAAGCTCTCTCGTGCATTAATTTATTTTGGCAATAAAAACAACTAAAGTTTATTAAGGCTTGCATCTTTAAATAATTACTAAATGTTTTCTAGATGAATGCATTCTCTCCCTCAATAAATCTTTATTCAGATCTTCAGATAAAAACAATAACAACAATGCTTGACATAAATAGATATATTTTTGAACAATTACTAATTAAGCACTTGAAAGCATCTAGTTATTTGTCAGAGGTCATTAGCAGCTCAAGAACTCTGAAACAATTCAACCATCTAATTTTGTTATGAGCTCTTTAAATATGGGGATCCCTTGTTTAATCAATACATTTGCAGTGGTCTCTAGTAGTAAAGAAGGCCTTGTAAGTCGTACTCTGGGGAAACAGAGCTCAGGAACAGTTTCAGGAAGTAGAAATGAGCCACATCAGAGTTGAGGATTGACCTGAAGTAGCTAATGCTAACGGTTAGCTTAGACTGTTGGACACATTGTCTGCTGTTTCCTGGACCCTAAACCAACAACAGCCTTCCCTGTTGTGAGCAAGCCCCCACAATGCCGCTCTAAAAATGGTCCCATCCCGGAAGTAAGAAAAATTGCAGTTCCACCCTCATCCGCTGGGGGCTGGTGCCAGAAGCGAGCAAATCCTCATTGACTCCCATGTTAAAAATGCCGATTTCACAGCAGAAATAAACATGTTTACAGCCTGGTTCCAAAACATGTTTTTTGTCTAAATGATCTAGTTTATACTCATGACAACTCTGAGGAGGGTGAATTTTTTTCTCACTCTTCTGTTTAAGTGTATTGAAAGCCTAAAATTCTGTATAATTAATGAGCAGCCGACACACGTGACCGCCGCCTCAGACCCACGTGACCACAGAGCTAACTCCGTGGAAAGGCCTCAGTACAGCCTCGGTCCCTCCTGGAAACTGTGTCGGGATTTTGAGTCTCTGTGCTTGTGAATTCTGTTTTGGATATTATTGGTGCAATTGTTGGACAAAATGACTTGCTGTGGTATTAATTGCACTAATAGAGCGTCCAAGGAGTCTCCACTTCATTTTTTTTGGTAAGTTAAAATCTATATTTGTATTTTATGTCACTGCCGCGCCTTTAAACTAGAGTTTACCGAAGTAGCTAGCTAACTATCAGTTTAACATGTAGCATGTACTGTTTAACCATGAAATTTAAATGTAAAATACGGTAAAATAATTAATAGGGCATATTTCGATGGGTAAAAGGGTAAAGGTGTTTTCATATGAACCCTTAAAATCTCCAGCAGGCTATGCTGCACTATTGACGTGTTAGCACGCGGCGCTAACAACTTAGCGACGTGACATGTCTCTGAGAAAGCGTAAAACACGGACGCTTCTTCTGAAGCGGAAAATAACACTTCTTCTTAAGCAGAGCAGGATGTCGCCTCGGCTCGTTCACGGCCAAGCCGGACTGAGCTCGATAACATTGACCAAGCACAGCCACTGGGTTGTTGTAGCTGCCACCAGGCCTGCTGAAGGAACAGCAGCGGGTTTCATCAGACTCGTAAAGTTTCTTGTTTTTGCTGGGGATTTCTGTATTTTACCGCTCCCTCCTGCAGTCTTCCCCTATTAAAATTTAAAATGTGTAACTTTATGTATTTGGATGAATGACAAATATTCATGTTAAACTAAAACGTTAGGCATTTAGGGGAAAAAAACAAAATAATAAACATACAGATGTCAAATAAATCAAACTGTAATTAAACTATATATTTTCAAAGTCATATAGACGGCATGATGGTTTGTGTGATCCGCGCGGTTTCACTTACACCCCTTTAATGATCAGGCTGTTTTTTATTATTTTTATCAGCTGATAACAGTTAAAATTATGGTAAAAAAAACTATCTGTTTTTGATAACTTAATGCCCTAATGCGTACGCACAGAAAACGGCTTGGCGGAATACTTCGCGATCGAAACGGGAGTCAGACAAGGTTGCGTCCTGTTGCCGCTCCTGTTCCTCCTCGTTATGGACTTCACTATGTGACGGACGCTTGATAAAGGCAACCCTGGCATCCAATGGGGCAACACGAAGCTAGCGGATCTTGATTTTGCGGACGACATCGCACTACTCGCACCTACACAACGTGGCCTTGTAGAACTCACAACGGCCTTGGAACATGAAGCCGGGAAAGCCGGGCTGAGGATCAGTGCTGCGAAGAGCAAAGTGATGCGAGTGGGCTATGCCGGTGCACACACAGTGGTTCAGATCAGCCACCAACAACGGCTTGAAGAGGTAAATGAATTCACCTACTTGGGAAGCATAGTCACATCAGATGGTGGCACGGACCGCGACGTCACATGTCGCATTGGAAAGGCAGCGGCAGTGTTCCGGCGGCTACAGCCAGTCTGGGCGTCTGGGTCCATCGGGCTACAAACAAAAATCCACCAATTCAACACGATCGTCATTCCAACCGCCATATACGGGAGCGAGACATGGAGGTCGACAGCGGCCATCACACAGCGCCTCAATGCGTTCCAACAACGATGCCTCAGGCGCATCCTTCACATTTCCTACCTTGACCACATCACGAATGAAGCGATCCACCACCAAACGGGAACACGCCAACTCGCTGAGGTCGTTGCAAAGCGACGGTTTCGGTTTGGGGGCCATGTGCTACGAATGGCTCAAACACGCATACCAAAAGTGGCCATGCTGTGGACCCCAGGACGCGGAAAATGGAAACAAGGACGGCCAAAAATCACATGGCGCAGAACTTTTATCGAAGACCTACGTGCCGTGAACCTGTCATGGGATGAAGCCGAGGCCGTCGCGGCCGACAGAGCTCGCTGGCGATTACTTTGCGCCCAATGCGCCAGTAGGCGCCGGAGGAACTAAGTCTAAGTAATGCCCAGGAAGAGCATCTTCTCTAAACACTAAATATAACCCAAATGTTTTATTATGAGCAGATCTGATGAAGGTGTAGACAAGCAGTCTGCAAAGTAAAACTTGTTTAGAGTCCAAACTTACTAAAGCTTTTGAAAAGAAAAAATGGTTGAATTTTGAGAAATATCCACAACAGGGGAGCGAGACCTCTGAAAAATGTATATTTTCTCTGAATTCATAGAATAATGTGAAGATTCTGGGAAAAGTTGGGATTCTGAGATTAAAACGTAAATCTATCTAATCATAATTCTGGCAGTTTTTGTGTCCTTCTGCTGTGGAAAGTCGTGCAACATGAAGATACTGAGAAGATGCTTAAAACCTGTATTTTTATTCCATCCATAAATAAAATCATGAGCTATTTTTTTAATTCAAATTTGATCCAAAGGGCCATCGTTGGTTCCAGACCCGTTCTAGAACATTCCTCTAATCTTAAAGTCATCATCAGTTTCTTCCTTTTAACAAATATTTATTTGTTCAAATATTTAATATTTATAGCTGGAATATTTGTTCCTCCCTCTCCCACTGCAGTTAGTCCTGTCCTGCAACCCTGTTTTTGCAGCTTAGTAAAGCCAACCATCACTAACCTGGGGGTGGTTTTGGACCCAGAGATGCGGATGGACTCCCACATTAGCCAGGTGGTTAGATCCTGCTTTTCCCGGCTTCGCCAGCTACCAAAGATGAAGTCCATCCTGAAAGACGTGTCATATTTTCTCCCCAAGCCGGACCTGACCGTAGATATACTGCAACTCGGTGAGTTGGTAGATAGTGCTTGATGTTAGAAGTCTGTATGCCATCAGATAAACTCGCTCTTTTTTTGGGGGGGTGGGGGGGTGGGGGGGGGGGGGGGGGGTGAGGCTTATATTGCAGTACGCACGAGTCGGTAATTTCCGGTAAGTATTT